GTGCATAGAGAATATCCCTGCAAAGTTTCAGCCTTCTTCGTTGCCTGGTTCGCGAAATCGTTTCTCGCCAACATATTTCTTTGGGGTTCCCGTACGCGGGGTTTAAGCGCATGTAGGGAAAGATCTTAAAGCGGGAGGATGACACACAAGGTAGGAACATATATCCGAAGTTTCAGCCTCCCAACTTTCCTGGTTGCTAAGATGAAAGTGGGTGACAAAATGCACTCGCTTTCCGAACACACACACACACAGACAGCCTCTCGACAATATGTGTTTTTGCTGGCTGTAGCAAAAACGCATAAAAATCATGACGGAATTAGTGTTGCAACTATTACCCATGCTGAGGAGCAGAAGCGACTCTTCTAATCAATCAAAATTTGCATATGCAGATATAAGCTGCTTAAAATACAGCAGAAATATCTCAGAGTTTTTCGAGAATGTCAGTTGTCCTAGCAGTGCCCAAGCACTTTGCTTGCTCCTAACACATTGCAGTGACGGTTTGTTGCATTTTATCGAGTTTATTTTCTGGATGAAAATATGTCTCGCTGCCGGGCGGATATGGATTACTTCCTAGCGAATTACATTTTCATTTAGAAACAGCTGTTGGAACGCGTAGCTCAGTGCTGCCTCATTTTCGTCGGTTGCGAAAAAGCATTCGATAACGCTGATTGAATACCATAAGAGGAAAACTGTTTAAATTAGGGAAATTTATAAGAGATTTTGAGAATAAAGGCTTGTTTTATAAAAATGCTCGACTTGGGAGATAATAAAAAATTAAATGCTATATGCTATTTACAGGCATGCGTAGACAAGGAGCCACTGTGTTCATACTGGGCGCAGCAAGGCTATTGCGCCAACTGGCCGATTATGCGGAGGCGATGTGCACGTGCATGTGGCTTCTGCGTACGGGCGCAATCGTTATAGGCAAATCGCAGACAGCTTTAGCGATATATCCTGGTTTTCATGAAGCGTTGTGAGATGTGTTCGGTTGCTCACATCAGAGCTTTTGGAGCAAATG